AGGGAAAATAGGTACGTTCTGCTAGTTCTTTTTAACCAAAGTATAATTGCATGCCTCATATGTCTTTGAAACAAACCATAAAGTAGAAAGTTTAATGTATCTAAATGCAAGTAATGAGCAAAGCTTTCCACTTGAAATGGTAGTGAATCACTGAATAGCTTGAGTCAGTAACAAACACAGGCTTGCAGAGGCAGGACAGGCATCCTGTTGCCTCTTGCTGTACATGGGGCTCTCACTGATTTAACAATGCTGTCTTTCTTTCTTTCTTTCTTTCTTTCTTTCTTTCTTTCTTTCTTTCTCTCTCTCTCTCTCTCTCTCTCTCTCTCTCTCTCTCTCTTTATTTTATTTTGTTTGTTTGTTTGTTTTTCCAAGACAGGGTTTCTCTGTGGCTTTAGAGGCTGTCTTGGAACAAACTCTTGTAGATCAGGCTGGTCTCGAACTCTCCACCTGCCTCTGCCTCTAGTGCTGGGACTAAAGGCGTGCGCCACCACCGCTCGGCAACAATGCTATTTCTTGTGTAACACAGTGAACCTAATTTACAGCCTTGCATTTTACAAAACACAGATTTCTGGGGATGCTAAGGGTGAAGGACATGTGAGTGAGTGGAACTGTTACTTGCCCACTTGAATAAAAGAAATCCACAATTCATTCCTTGCAAATTGACATTACATAGTCTAATGTTTTAGCCTTGTCCATAGGCTGTTTTTGTTTAAGTGACTACACTGTACTTCTGGAACAAAATACATGCTTTGCAAAGATAATTTTAGCAGCAGAGAATTAATTTCTTCCCACATCTTTTAATGTGGCATGGGAGTCTCACTGTACGATCAAAACACGTAACTGAAGGTTATGTTTAATTTCTAAATCAAAGTGTTGTGGGAAGGCGATTGAAATTTGATGATGACTCAGATCCAGTTGCTATGTGGTTTTCTTCCTACAGAAACTTTAGGGTAGACTGCCATTTCCATGTTAGAAAGAGCCAAGCAGTGATGAGATTAAAATAGTTTCTCCATAGACTAAGTTTGTGTTAGTCACTTGGATTGCTAATTGGATTTTTTAAGGTACTTTGAGAGTCTCAGTAACAAGGATTCTTTTCCCACTACTTAATCTTTCTTTTTCAGTGTGGGACTAAATAAATAATCAATGCATATTTCCAGCAAACATTTGTTACTACCATCATGATTCCATTTTTTCCCTAAAGTTGTAACTCATGTGTTTTGCTTCTTTCCTCGTATAGAAATCTCCATTGCCTTCAAAGGGTAAATTCAAAGTATGTGACAACCTTCACTAAATGTAACATGGGGAAGGCATGGTAGATGGCAATGGAGATGGATGTGCCTGCTGCTTCACCCATGTCAGCTTAGGTCTATTTGGTTTCTCTATTTATTGTTTAAGGCAGTCATAACAAAACATTCACCTAGAATGGGAATGGCTTTTTCTCGGTGTTTGAAAGACAGAAATTAGACACTTTGTGCCTCTGCTCTGCCTTTCCCTCGCTGTCCTTTATCTGAACCACTCAAAGGCCCAAGTGTGGGGTGTGCTGCACACCAGCCTGCTCTGCTCAGAGAAGGAAGTGGAGAGTTTTGGTTCCCATTTTACACTTGTGGAGCAGTTTGGGGAAGGAAGCACCTTTACACCTTTTATTGTTCGCGGTTGCTGACATCACATCCTTCCCTGCCCAGTCTGTGCGTGTTTCCTGCCATTCTGTCAAGATCCTTCTCTGTTACTGGGAGGGATTTGCTGAAGGGAAGGAGGGAGAAAGGGAAGAGGGCAAAAAGAGTGGGAGAAGGAAGGGAGGGGGAGGTGCATGTCAATCAAACTGGCTTGTTTAGAAATGAGGGAGTCTGTGGGAGAATGATCTTTAGCTGTCCCCAAGGAACTCTGTGCGGCTCTCAGGCCACTTTGCCTTCTGTCTGTCTGCTTATGGCAAACTCCAAGTGAAAAGAAGCCTGCCGTGCTGAAGTTCCCCTTTTTAGTAAGCAGGCAGATTTTACCTTTTTATTTAAGTTGGCAAAAGAAGAAACAGGGCAGACTGTAACTGCATAATCTTCTTTTTCTTTCCTTCTTATTCAAAGTTTTGATTGTTTACGTGTAATTGTTTTCCAAGGATGGTTTCTTCATGTGAAAACTGTAGTGTCCAGAATAAGCCTGTGATTGATTCTATATAATGAAAGTTCTCACAGTGACTGAAATGCTGCTATATGTAGTTTAATTATTAATATTCTTTTTTTTCACATACCTGTGAAACAGCCAAACAGGTTACTATGGTAATAATAATCTTTTTCTCTAGCCCTCCTGAAAATTAATACTTGAAACAACCATACAGTACAGTTTTTTGTGCAAAAATCAGGTTAATAAGTAGTTACACTTAAAAAATAAAATAAAAATGAAAAAAGCTGTGTGCTGGTGCTGGCCTTCCCAGTTCTTTGAATTTTTACTGATAGCCTTGAAATGTGGGGACATCTTCCACAAATTGCCACATCATTGCTACTTGTTATTCTGCGTGTGAGCTTCATGCAATTGTGCATTTTATGAATGTTTAGAAAGCAGCACTTCAGCTACTAAATTGAATATTGTCCTTGTACAGAAAACAAAATTAAAGTTGAATTAGGGTTAATTTTCCATCTCTCTCCACTACCTGGCATATTTTAGAATGGAGACTATTTTCAATGGCATTTTCACCAATCATTTTATGTATGTGTATATACATGTGCACAGAGAAGCATGCTAATGCATTTACATGTGTATTTCTAGAAAAAATATTCCCCATTGTGTTTTAAGAATTAAAAAAGAAAAAAAAAAAAAAACCGTCACCGGCTCCTTCTAAACAGTGTCTTCCTTTCCAAGTTGAAAAATGCTGGGTGGTGATGCAGAAGGCTGTTTTTTTCTTTTGTTAGTTTAGTGGTCAGGAGCACACTCTGGCTCTTTAAGGAGAGTCTTCTTTGCCAGTGTCTCCCTACTTGCTTGGGCATATGTATTTTGAATCAAGGTCTGTAGCCAGTGACCTCCTGTCTGCCTTGCCTCTGCACTCTAATCTGTATGCCCTGACCTTCCACCTAAAGTGAGTAAGCGCTTAGGCAGGCAGTCCTGTAAGCCGATAGCAACTCTGGCCTCTGCTAAGACAAGGGAAGGGGGATGCGCCCAAAGGCTTTTCCTGGGGTTCATGGATTGTTTTTTTCTGTGGTGGAGAAAACCTGCTTGTCTCTTTGGGGTCTTGCACATGCCTGGGAAATACCACTCTGGATTGCTGCTTGCGTCTTTGGTAAGACTATAGGAAATGCGGAAAAGGTTCCCGGTTGTGTGAACTTTAAGACCAGTTTCAAGACTAAATGGGTGGACTATTTAGCAGTGTGAATGCTTGATGTATTGTGGTGTCTTGAAGCAATGTCTTAAGGTTGTTGTTTATATAACTTTTCAAAACTTTAGAACTGCTGTTAACATTGAAAACTGTAGCTGGAGTCATCATCTTTGATAAGCACACCGTAATCATGATGTAACTTACATATGTATGCCAAAAGGCTGAACTGAGCTGCAGTTGAGTAGAAGAAAGAAACCGGGTAAAGGAGAGTGGATAGTCTTAGTGATTAAGCAGTGCTTAATCCACCAGAACTAATTATATCATAATAGCCTCTGCAATTAGATAATTACCTAAACTTGTATTTTAAAAATTTACTCAACATGTCAAAGAATAAAGAAATTTAAAGGCAGCTGAGGATCAGACCAAGTATATCTAACAGCCTTTTCTGTCCCAAGGACCTTGAACTAGAGCCAAATAATCTATTAAGTAGCCAGGACAGTGGCATAGTGTTACATAATACATGTGGGAATTTTTCAGGTCCACTGTCACAGACTAACTAGAATCAACAGAGAAATACTGAGCAGAGTGTAAAGTAGTTGTATCCACTGACATAAGAGGAGACAAAATAATTGAAGCTGCTGCTTGCAAATGAAGCAAGTATTATAGGATGCTTCCTAGTTAACTTCCATTTCATAGCAATTCACTTTCATTATGTGCAAATATTTTTAGACATAATTTTAAACAGTAAAATATAGACTTTTAATATTCTGTGCTCTTTGGGTTTGCTATGTAATTGATAATCATTATTTTAATTTTAATTCATGACCTAGAGCTCTCTGGTATATAATATCAAGCTTCTGTAATTGTGTGTCTGACTGCCTAAGGAGATATGATATGTCTCTTTTAAACATTTAAATTTAGAGGGCTGGTGGTCTATTATTAAAAAGTGTATAGTTACAAATGAGATAATAATCTTAATTTTTTGCACCACTTATTTCTTATCAGTGACCATCATTTCTGAGTACTGTTTTAATGGGCAGTTTAAAGGCTTCCAAGAGGAAATGCTCTTACTGCTAACCGATGCTGGAACATCAGATGAAACATCCCATATTACTTTTCCTGTGTTCACTGTCGTGATCTTCTTAAAATAAGATTAAAGGATTTAGTTTGAAATTAGTTGACATTTACATATATCAAAGAGCACTTTCATAATTGTCCATCCTATTTGCATAACTAGGGACGTTATCACCTCTGCTGTCAAAACACGAGATTGTTTTCCATTCAGAAATGAATTAGATGCCCTACTTAGCATACACAGGTATATAAAGGTTCATTAACTCTCTGATTTAGGTAATTTTTCATAACAGAAGGGTGAAAATTGTCACCTAATTTCATTAAAAATATTAAGCTCTTTACAAAAAATACAGTTCATTTCAAGTGTTGGATTTTAAAACACAGTTTTCATCACTTAAATGACTTCTTAAATTACTTATGAGCTTATTTTAATTATAAAAGCATTCACCCCTGTGTATAGGCTCCTGCGTGTGATGTGCAATGAGCTTTTAACAAATACTTATTTGCATTTGTTTTCTTGTTTTGCTTCCATGAATCTTATTACCTTGATGGAGTTTGGAAGACCACGCTAGTTCTTAGGAAGTTGGCTTGCTGTGGAACTGTTGTTTAAGTTGTCATTTCTGTTCAGCAGGAACTTATGCAAGGATTTGGGAACTGAGCTGTGCACGTGCTGAAGAAGGAGACTTGTTTGAAGGAAACAGGAAAGAGGAAGAAAAGGAAGGAAAAAATACATAATTTCAGGGACGAGAGAGAGAAGAAACACGGGGACTATGGGGAGAAAAAAGATTCAGATCACAAGGATCATGGATGAGCGGAACAGGCAGGTGAGTAGGGGACCCTTTGCATTGGCACTAAGGCATCTTGTCAACCTCCATCAACACAAGCTCTGTGAGCTCAGTGTATCCAGTTTAAGTGTTGAGATTGTCATCTCTTGCAAACAAAGCAGGGAAGAGAAAAATCACCTTAACTGTTAGATGTATGTTTTAAAGATTGTTCACTTTTCACTGCCTCAAGACTTAAATGGAACTTGTATTTGTATGACAAGAATAGCTGAATAATTAAGAATTAACAAGCACAGAATTGCTGCTACAGTGCATGCATCATCAAACAAAGATATTCATGGAAACCAGGCCTTCTGTAGTCATCCATTTTAAGTTTGTAGTATTGCCTAAATATCCTCTCTGCAAAATGGCTTGCTTTCTTTTCATCACAAAGGAGTGTCTGAAGTAAATCCAAACATGTCTAGATGCTACTGACAACAACAACAAAGAAAGCACCCACAGGAGATACTAGCTGCATAAAACATATAGACAGGAACATCCTGATAACTCACATTTTCTCTAAATTCTGAAATTTTATAAACATGGTACTATCATTGTTTTCTACAACTCCAGTGATAATGTCTATAAGACACAGTCAGTTTTGAAGACTTCATATATCAAATGTTCAGTGCTGCATTAAACACCGTGCACCATGAGTACCTGCCTGCAGTCTGAGTCTTCCTTATACTGGAAAGAGGAACTGGGCTTCAGGAGGGTAGTTAGGTGGTTTGGACACATCCTACAGTTGACTATCAGGTGACAGTCCTCCAGAAGAATCATAGTGCACCTGGGTACCCACAGTGGCCTTCACACAATGGAACCTGTTCTTGGCCCTGAGAGAGGGGTGAGTCAGCCCCCCACCCCACCCCATCCACGCTGCCAATAATGGTACAGAATAGGCTCAACATATTCCCAAATAATGACACTCACCTTTCATTAGGTTCCTGTTTATCCTCCTGTAACATAAGAGTAGATTCAATTTTAAAACACAATGTTACTTACAATTTTAACTTATAATGAATAGTAATCATTATTTATTACACTGTCTCTACAGATGGCTCTTTATAGAAAGCCAGTGAGCTTCCAAGAAGTAGGAAGATTTTTTGGTTTTTCAAGACAGGGTTTCTCTGTATTGCTTTGGAGGTTGTCCTGGAACTCGCTCTGTAGACCAGGCTGGCCTCGAACTCACAGAGATCTGCCTACCTCTGCCTCCCAAGTGCTGGGATTAAAGGTGTACGCCACCAGGGCCCGACTATACTTTTTTCTAAGCTAGAATGTCTTCTAAGGTTCCCAGGACTTGAACTGCTTTGAGCTTAGCTTTGAATTAAATGACAAAAAATACAAAATTCATGAGGGACCTCTCAGTGTTTTCATACAGATTGTCTATTGCTGTAGGCCAAGACAAAAAGCAATATCCATGTTATAATTAAACCCCAATTTTGTATTCACTTATAGCTTAAAAATGAAATGAAAGCTGCAGTATTGAACATCACATACCATTGACTGTGGGGACCTTGTTATTTGGAACACAATCTGTTTGGTTAGAGAAAAAAATATGAATTAATATTTGTAGTTTATTAATAATGTGACCTAATTTTTAGCTTTGTGAAATTAATTCTATCTTCTTATTACTTACAAAACTAGAAGAAAATGGTGGGGGTTGAATCATGTGGCTATTACCATGCATTCTAAGGAAAGAAAACATTCCAATAGAGATACAAGAATTGCTACATTATACTCTTTAGAGAGAAAGTTTCAATGTTTACATACAGTTATATTGATCTATGCTTGTAGATACTCTAATATAGGTATATTAGAAGTCATAGTAACTTTAGGAGGGAGAAAATATTTAAATTCAGCTTAGTTTGAGTGTTTTAGAAAGTTTTGAGGATTGATTCCTTCATTTTATTCTGTGGGATTTAGAGTCAATGCATTATTTTCCTCAATTTGTTGGTACAATGAGCCTCTTAATTCAACACTGTTGAAGTAAATTAATACAAGTGACATTGCTGTGTTTTAAGCTATGCTTCAGTGGTTGTATGAGGTAACAATTGACAACTTTAAAGAGCTGTCACTCATGGTAATGTTGATCTTGCTCACCTTTCCTTTTCTGTGAGAGTGGTCCAAAGAGCCACATGGAAAAAGGCATAAAGTATGTAGGTCACTTCTGATAATGAAAACCAACAAATGTGCGGAGGAACCCTAACCTGTGCTCCCTTTAAATCACATGTTCATGTGCTGAAAAGAACAATGTCAGCAGCTTTGCTCTCTCTGAAGTTGCTACACTGGGGTGGCCTAGTAGTACCTCACACGGAGGCTCACTGCTGTTTCTTCTTGAAATCTGTTCTTTCTGCTTTTGCATTTGTGAATTTGACACATACAGAATAGTGTGGGCTCTTCTGCAGGAAAAGAAATGCTAACCCAAAGTGGGCCCTGAAATAACACAGCACTTAATAGTACATTGTGTTTCAGAAAGGTAAAGCTGGCTTAAGACAGAAACCAGTTTTCACTGAGTTCTGCCTTTATTGTCTCTTTTACAAGTAGACAACAGCTATATCTCCTTAGAAACATACAATTGTGCAATGATAAAATTCAAAATCTTTTTGTACTTCACATTTTTTCAGTTTATTCTTAACCTTAACTAAGTTTCTCAAGTTAATATGTACAACTAACACATGAATTGTCAATTTATCTTACAGATACATTCAGACAGCTTGGTGAAAGTCATTACCAATTAGTTTCCAAAGATGACATGTAAATTATTCCCTTTAATCCTTAGTAATCCTATTTTATAGCCGGATGTTATTTATTTATTAAGTCAACAGTTTTATTTAATTGCATCATTCCCAAAAGAAAATATTCACTGGTGAATAACAGTCTCATCCAGGGATGAGCAAAGTGTTCTGTAAACGACCAAGTAGCAAATGCTGTTTGAGCTATGCCATCTCTGACACAGGCATGGAGCTCAATTGCAGCCATGGACAATATCTAAATGGATATGTGTCTGTATTCAATAAGAAGGCTTTACTGACAAAGCAAAGGTGAGCTAGATTAGTCTAGTGGGCCATAGTTTTTAGACCTCTGGCAGACTGAAATAGACATGGAAATATGAACATGAACTATGAAAATATAGAACAAAAATGTCATTTATGGGCTGAGAATGAAAATATCAAAGAACTAGGAAAAAACAGCAAGGGAGTGCTTTATTTACCACTCAAGCTTGGAGAATGGCGTTTCTGGGCAGGTGCACAACATGGGAACTACAGCATTCTAGAGGAACCAAAATGTCTAAAGATTGAGGTAGGAAAGCCTTGGTTGAGGATTCAGAACTGGGTTAATAGGACTTTGAGCCTACTGTGTGACAGTAGAGTAATGAAGGACTTCACACCAAGTAGAGCAACACCCTGCGCAGCTTAGAGGATGTTCTTCAGTTCAGAATAACTGACCAAGATTTCATAGTGAAGATCAGAAGCTCAAGATCCAGTGTCAAGTTCCTCATATTCAGAACAAAACATACTTCCTTCAGGGATATCGTGATACATCTACCATATCTTAATGGCTAAAAGAGCAAGCCTTTACCTCATGTCTTTTTTCAGTCATAGCATATTGTATCCTATAAAATATAAGAGACAAGAGTCCAACTTCTAGTGACATATAAACCTTTTTCTAGTCCCAGCCCTACACTTAGTAATATTACTCTCCAGTTACAGTAGCTTAATAGCTTAATACTAAACTACATTCTGCCAGCAAATTATTTCGCCTTTCTGAACTTAGTCGGTAGAGCGAGGATTAAACAGTAGCCACCATGTTCCAGTGCAGATATGAAGTGATGCATTTCAAGTGCTCAATACATGCTCCTCCTGTTAGGAGTCATGCTCTTCGAGCCATTGTTTCTTACAGTCATTGTGATTCCCATCAAAACAGCTCCTGTGCTGGGTAGCATATGAAAGAAAAGTTGCTGGGTCTTCACTCCAAGGGAGCTCTACCATAGTAAAAGAATGTCAGGAGGGGAGTGGAACAGAGTAGAGCAAGAACACAAAGAAGCTCCCTTGCCTACAGGCTGCTAGAGAACCATCCAGAGCAGTGTTGCTGCAGAGAGTAGGGTCTGTGTGCCCTGAAGGAAGAGCACACAAGACATGCACAATGCAGGTCTTATGACTATGGTGGGTGGAAGTCATTTCTGAAATCCTGTATATGTGGTAACACAATTTTCAAATGTGTGTTATTGACCAAATGTTTTTACAATACTTTTCACCATTTTTATCAATTGTGCCTCCAAGCATATGGTAACCATGATTTCTTTCTCCCCACCCCCACTATCCCTGTTTTTGTTACCTTTGATCCTTACTGATTAGGCAGCCATTTAGTCTTGGCCTTGTTCATATGTTACACATTTTGGATTTGGTGCTTGAAACAATTGGACTTTTAATTAGTTTTTTATGACTCATTTTTACAAACAAAATATAATTAGAAATCTGTCCCATGAGGAAGAACAATGTATATAAACTCAGTAAGCCTAAAACTATTTGCTCATGTTTGTACTGAATTTTTCAGGCTTCCTACTTTGAAGGGACTAGCATAATTAAATTCCAATGTATTTGTGCAACAAAAGGACATCTAACTATGTGAATAAGAGGGAAGTATTTGCAGGTAGCATATCTAGGGCCTAAGATAGTAAGCTTGCATGCAGATTTAAATGCCTTATGTTTGCGTTGCTTCCCTCAGATCTGACACTTTGTTTTTTGCCAGCAAAGAAAATTCCACATAATTGCCAGTGCAGTAACTTTAACCCATATTAAAGACAATCAGCATCATCACCCTTAAAAAAGTCAGGAGAATCCTCTTACAAATTAAAATGACTCAGGCTTTATAGCTTTTAAATTTTCTAACATTCCTTCTTCCCGGGCTTCTGAAACCCATGGCACATGCAGCAAGTTAGGGAAGGCCTGCAGAAGTGTATTCAGTGTAGATGCTACCACTGGTAGTTTGTACATAGTGACTTT